GGACAGCCTGCCGTCCTATCTTCTGTTTTCTGGGAAGTTGTGGTGTCTTCTTCTCTTCTGTTGAGACCAGAGCATTTTTGGAGGGTGATAGTTAAGTGGTCTCTGAAACCAGGCGTGGAATTATGTTTTCCCTTTTTATGAAACTGGATTTTTTTATTGTGGTAAAATATATACAACATAAAATTTATCTTTTTAACCGTTTTAGGCACACAGTTTAGTGGCATTAAATACATTCACATGGCTGTGCAATCATCACCACCACATCTCCAGAACATGTTTGTCTTCTCAAGCTGAAACTCTGTACTCATTTAACTTGAACTCCCCCTTGTCCCTCATCCCTAAGCCCTGGCAACCACCATTCTGTTTCCTGTCTTTATGAATTTGACTACTTTAGGTACCTCATGTAAGTGGAATCATATAATATTTGTGCTTTTGTGACCAGCTTATTTCGCTTAACATAATGTTTTCAAGGTTCATCCGTGTTGTAGCATGTGTCAGAATTTCATTCCTCTTTCAGGCTGAATAATATTCCATTGTGTGTATATAGCATGTTTTGTTTATCTATTCATCTATTGATAGACTTTTGGGTTGTTTTCACCTTTTGACTATTGTGAATAATGCTGCTATGAATATTGATGTACAAATATCTGTTTGAGTCCGTGCTTTCAGTTCTTTTAGCTGTATGCCCAGAAGTGGAATTCCTGAATCATATGATAATTCTACGTTTAATTTTGTGTGTGTATGTGTGAGGAAGATTGTCCCTGAGCTAACATCTGTGTCAATCTTCCTCTATTTTATGTGGGATGCTGCCACAGTGTGGCTGGACGAGCAATCCTAGGTCTGCACCCAGGATCCGAATCTGTGAACTCCAGGCCACCAAAGCAGAGCATGCAAACTTAACCACTACACCACTGGACTGGCCCTATGTTTAATTTTTTGAGGAACTGCCATGGTGCTTGCCACAGCAGCTGCACCATTTTACATTACAAACAGCAGCGCATGGGGTTCCAATTTCTCCACTTCCTTGCTAACACTTATTTTCTGAGGGTTTTTTTTAATAACAGCCGTCCTACTGTGGTTTTGATATGCATTTCCCTAATAATTAGTCATATTGAGCATCTTTTCAGGTGCTTATTGGCCATCTGTACATCTTCTTTGGAGATATGTCTATATGAATCCTTTGCCCATTTTTTAAATTGTATTGTTTGTGTTTTTGTTGTTAAGTTGTTGGAGTTCTTTATATATTCTGGATATTAATCCATTATAAGATATATGATTTGAAAATACTTTCTCCCATGGGTTGCATTTTACTCAGTTGAATGTGTCTTTAGATGCATAACACTTTTTTTTTTTTTAAAGATTTTATTTTTTCCTTTTTCTCCCCAAAGCCCCCTGGTACATAGTTGTGTATTCTTCGTTGTGGGTTCTTCTAGTTGTGGCATGTGGGACGCTGCCTCAGCGTGGTCTGACGAGCAGTGCCATGTCCGCGCCCAGGATTCGAACTAAGGAAACACCGGGCCTCCTGCAGCGGAGCGCGCGAACTTAACCACTCGGCCACGGGGCCAGCCCCAGATGCATAACACTTTTTAACTTTTTTTTCTTTTGCAGGGGGGAAGATTTGTCCTTCATTAATGTCTCTTGCCAATCTTCCTCCTTTTTTCCTCCCCTGCAAAGCTCCAGTACATAGTTGGGTATAGTTGTAAGTTGTTCTGGTTCTTCTATAGGAGCCGCTACCACAGCACGAGCACTGACAGACAAGTGGTGTGGTTCCGTGCCCAGGAACTGAACCCAGGCTGCTGAAGCAGAGCACACCGAACCCCAACCACTAGGCTATCAGGGCTGGCTCAACACTTTTTACTTTTGATGAAGTCCAATTCATCTATTTTTCTTTTGTTGCCTGTGCTTTTGGTGCTATATTCAAGAAATCCTTGCCAAATCCAGTGCCATTAAACTTTTCCCCTGTGTTTTATTCTAAGAATTTTATAGTTTTAGCTTTCACATTTAGGTCTTGGGTCCATTTTGAATTAATTTTTGTATATGGTACAAGACAAGAGTTCAGCTTCATTCTTTGCATTTGAATATCTGGTTTTCCCAACACCATTTGTTGAAAGGATGGTTCTTTCCCCATTAAATGGTCTTGGCATCCTTATTGAAAATCATTTGATCTTATAAGGGAAGTTTTATTTCTGGGCTCTCTATTCTATTCTGTTGGTCTAGATGCCTGTCTTTACACCAGGACCACACTGTTTTGAATACAGCTTTGTTGTAAGTTTTGAAATTGGGAAGCGTGAGACCTCCAACTTCATTCCTTTTCAAGACTGTTTTGGCTAGTTGGGGCCCCTCGAGATTCCATTTGCATCTCAGGATGGATTTTTCTATTTCTGAAAAAGCATTGTTGGGATTTTTGATAGAGAGTGTGTTGAATTGTAGATCACTTTGGCCAGTATTGATGTCTTAACAATGTTGTCTTCTAATTCATGAACATGGGATGTCCTTCTATTTATTTGTGTCTTCTTTAATTTCTTTCAGCGGAATTTTGCAGTTTTCAGTGTATAATTATCTCACCTCCTTGTTTAAGCTTATTCTTAAATATTTTTTATACTATTATAAATGGAATTGTTTTTTTAAATTCCTTTTCATATTGTTCATTCTTAGTGTATAGAAATATAACTGATTCTTGTATGTTAATTTTGTATCCTGCTTCTTTGCTGAATTCATTTATTAGTTTTAACAAAGTTTTTTGTGTGTGGAATCTTTAGGGTTTTATACATATGAGATTGTATTGTCTGTGATCAGAGATAATTTCATTTTTTCCCTTTCAATTTGGATGCCTTTCTCCCTTTTTCTTGCCTAATTACGCTGGCTATAACTTCCAATATTACGTTGAATAGAAGTGGCAAATTCACAGCATCCTTGTCTTCTTTCTATCTTAGAAGAAAGGCTTTCACTGTTGAATACAATGATAGCCGTGAATTTTTCATATATGCCCTTTATTATGTTGAGTTGTTTCCTTCTATTCATAGTTTGTTGACGTTTTTATCATAGAATAGTGCTGGATTTTGTCAAATGCTTTTTCTGCATCAGTTGAGTTGACCTTTTGTCTTCTTCCATTCTGTTAATATGGTGCATTACAGCGATTGATTTTTGTATGTTGAATCATTCTTGCATTCCAGGAATAAATCTCTCTTGGTCATGTTGTATAATCTTTTCAATGTGCTATTGAATTCAATTTGTTGGCGTTTTGTTGAGGATTTTTGCATTGATATTCATAAGTGATATTGGCCTGTAGTTTTCTTTTGTTGAAGTGTCTTTGCCTAGTTTTAATATCAGGGTAATACAGGTCTCATATATTGAGTTAGGAAGTGTTTCTTCCTCTTCAATTTTTTGGAAGAGTTTGAGAAGGATTGATGCTAATTCTTCTTTAAATGTTTGGTAGAATTCACCAGTGAATCTGTCTGGTCCAGGGCTTTTCTTTGTTAGGAGGTTTTTGATTAGCGATTCAATTTTCTTACTAGATATAAGTCTATTCAGATTTTCTATTTCTTCATGATTCAGTCTTGGTAGACTGTGTGTTTCTAGTAACTTGTCCATTTTATCTGGTGGGGTGAATTTTTGGCTAATGAATTTTGGGCAAGAAAGACCTCAATGATAGCTACTAAGAGTTCTTGTCCTTTTTTTATACTCTTTATATGTCTATCCATAGTTAAGTGTTGTCCCATGTTTTTTAATATCATTTTGATAAGAAATTCATCTTGCTTATACTAACCAAGTTTTGGCATATCCTGGCCTCACAAAAAGATGAACTAATTGACAGGGATCAGGGAATCCAGGACTATAAATTCCTAAAGCAATCCTAAATTCTTCAGGGAACTTGTGCCTTTTCTTAAGAAGGTTTGGCAAGTCATTAACTAGATTATGCAAATCTTATCTAGACCATGATTTAAAGCTATGAGACCTGCCAGGTTGGTCATCATACCCACATACCTTATAAGATATAATAAGTGATATTGTCCAGAGAGAAAGATACGTTTAAGAAGGGCCAATGGAGGAAAGAGAAGAGGGTCTGTTGAAAGTGCAGGAAGGAGAGGAGGAATAAGGCAAAGAGGAGCAGGAAGTCAAGGTTCCGGAGGTCAGGAGGGAGGTCAACCCACAGTTGGGTCATGAGAGAGAGGAAATGTGACGTTTGGATTTTAGATCCACCAAGTTGTAATTAGTGTTTTCCAAGGTATCCTTAAGGAAAGCAATTTTGAGATTTCTGTCTTTTAGAGTTTTCTTGTCTTTTAGAGGCCTCTTTATTAAACAAAAAAAAAAGGTGACTGTTGATATTTAGAATATTTTATTCCTTTGATCCCAAGGCACCAGGCAAAATATTATTTTATGCTTATCTCAAGTTTCCCAGAATATTATGTAAAGAGGGATGTGGATGTAACTACATTAGTGAAATTCAGTGTCTGCCGTAGCTCAGCAAAGTACTAGCACGCTGACTTGAATATGATATGTTTACCTCCTCTCACATAATTGACTTTCCCATTGGAAGTATTTCTTTTTGGTTAAATAAATATAGTCTGGTTAAAAAAATTGTAATCATAGGCAATACAAATTTAATAAGAGTTGATTTTGAATCTACCCCACTTTCCAAAAAGAGAAAATTACACTAAGTAGACAGAAAATCATTTGCAGATAAATTTTTTAATAATATCACTTAATCCATGTCACCAGACCTAATGTGCTCATTTGTTAAGGCTCAGAGAGGAAATAGGCAGCGTAGCTTCACCTCTAAGTTGGCGTGTGTGTATGTGAGTAGACACACAGATTTATACATCTTTAATGCAAACATTTTGAAGTTGCATTGAGATTTTGCAACTCCAGTATGACGGTATTCTTTCTCGTAATTCTGTCAGCTAGTTGGCATCTGCAAGATGATTGTGATAAAATTTAGTTGTGAGTCAAAGCATATTTTTTTCACTCATGCAATGATGGTTATTGTCCTAAATTGACAGGTGAAGTATGCTGTCCAGATGAGCAGCACCATCGGGTTTCCGCTGGCGTCGGCGACTCCTGCTGTGGCAGAATGCCGTACTCCACCTCAGGAAATCAGATCTGCTGTGCTGGGAGGCTTCAGGATGGCCTCGGCCAGCAGTGCTGTGGGGGACAGATTGTGAGCAAGGATGTAGAGTGCTGTGGTGGCGAAGAAGAGGGTGTCGTGTACAGGCGCCTTCCAGGTAAGGGGCGCTGGTCTACCTTTCAATCGATGGACAATCTGGGAAGCAGAGAAGTTAAGAAATTTTCCCTACACAAGCAATTAACTAAAACTCATGTTCATTACATCTAATGCAACGATTAGGTACATGCTGTATAAGCAATAAAAATGTAATCTCACATTTTTATGTGCGTGTGATGCATTTCATAAAAACAGATCAAAACTATTTCTTCTGGAAAAGTGTCGTGTCCACCCAAAAGCAAAGAAAACGCACACGAATGCACAGGTTCTGGAGCAAGAGAATATTTCCTAGCAAATAAGAACAGTGTCCAAAATTACTATGGATGATATTGTGTCATAACTCTTTTATTCCCTTATTCTTCTGCAGCTATCAAATTAACACTAACATTAATAACAATCATTGTCATTATTTGAGTACTTACTATCTAGCAGGCACGATGCCCAATGTTTTATGTATTATTACCTCAATTGATCTTCATAACAATCCTACAAGATAGGCACTATTATCATCCACATTTTAAAAATGAGCAAATTGAGACACAGAGATTAAGCCCTTGCTCAAGATTACATGGCTAGTCGGACCTAGATTTTTGGGTCCCTGAAAGTTATTCAGTTCAGGGGACCATCTTTAAGAAAAGAAAACAAAATAGTAAAGACAAGACAAAATATAAAAATAAATATTTATTTAGAAGGCGGATATAAATTACAAAAATTACAAATCTAAGAAAAGAACCAAGCAAATCTCACTAACATAAAAATACTGTATTTGAATTATTTAACTTCTGGCATCTTTGTTTTTTTCCTAATGTGTTTAACTTGTACTTTGATTGTCTCTTCCTACAACTATGGCTTTGTACTGTAACTATCTATAGAGAGAATAGAAAGAGAATTTATTCTTTTCTGTCACATGGTTAATCAAAAAAATTTTTTAACTGTTTAAAGTTTAGAAAAGTGAGTTTAAGCTTCACAACTCATTATCGTAATATTATGTAAATGTTTAAGATTATTGCCAAATGTGGAGAAATATCTACCAAGAGTCTTTCTAAGATTTCAGGGACTTGTCTAAATATTTGTCAAATTGACAACATCATTAATCGGCTTTTCATGGACATCCTTCTCATATGACTGTATTTGAGTTGTATATTATCATAGATGTCACTATTTCAGTTACAAATCAGTAAGAAGTATAATTTGTCCAATATATTTATGAGCTGCTTCTCTTCATAATTTGTATTATCAAACAATCAAATGGCCTAGGCATTGCTTCAATCCTAGATCCACCATTTTCTTTTAATAGTTTGCTACTTTTGGTATGATCTGAAATTTATTTTGTTCCAATTGTCTTCTTGATGTCAGAATATTCCCGTTGATTCTATTGTTCATTTTTACAGCTTTGGTTTCATATCACATTACTTTTTCTGATCTCTCTTTCTTTAAAGCTTCCCTCTACAGGCATCCAAATTAAGAGTCTATAATTTCTCACATTTCTTATTTTTCCAAACTGCAGTGAAAATGGCATATTTGAGCCTTAACAACTTTTTTATAGAAGTGACTGAAATTAGATAAATGTAGCTACTGAGCCCAAACTAAATATTTCCCCAACTTGACTTCCCTTTAGTAGGTTTCAAAAATATCCATAGTCACTCCAATTTCAATCAATATGAGGGCACCTATGGCAGAGAGTAAGTTAAAGGAGAAAGAGACAGTGGTCATAACAAATTGTGGTGAAATATTATACATTTGCAAATTTTATAAAAATATACAACCACACTTTCCTTGGAAGGGGCTCATGCAGGCAAAGGGCCCTGAAACTCAAGCTTCTTTAGCTTCAGAGTAAATCTACCCCATGAAGCTAGTAAGTGTTGACAATCCAGCCCTTTTCTGAGTATGACTCAGGACATCACAATATCTTGATGGAGATGAATTATGAATTCTTTCTATAATTTCTTCTGTTTTTAAAAACCATCAGAGTTATCCATAATACGAGTAACAATTATCTAAATTGACTATTATAATATTATTGTTACATACCACGTTCTTGTATACATTCTCTTCATTGTAAAGTTCTGATGAAAATTACCAGGAAGGGCACTTGAAAAACTAATCAATCAAAAACAATAATAGGTATCAACCTGGATGTACCTGAATCTTGTGCCTTAAAAAAAATACTAAACTCTCAGTATTTTGGTAGTCTTTAAAGAAGAAAGAAATGCTAAATTAAATTATTCACAACTAAATTTCAATCCTGCCAGTGTAGGAAAGACTCATCTCCTTTTTTGAGCCAAAAAATACCTGAGTTCTAGCTTCTTATTTTATCCTTGGGCCACCATCAAGTGTGTTTGTTTCCAAGGCATTTACTATTCCATGAAGTTATAAATCACCCATCTGGATCCACACTGTATCCATCTTATACATTTTTAAATCCAACCCAGTGGGACACATTTAGAGGACAATTTTAGTATATATACTGTCAAACTGGTTGATAGTCCTATGTCATTTTGTTGATCTCCATCAACTGTCCAGAAGATAGTAAAAGTGGATAGTTGTCTGACATATAAGAGAATAAAGTTTTAATTGGACATTTTCTTTGATCCCAGGAATTTAAGGATTGCCTGTAAAAGGATTACCTTTAAAAGGTGGCCTTGAAAGAGAGCACAGGCCACCTGGATCTGTATTTTATTACAAAAAAAGGTTGACTTTGCCAGGTAAAACTAAGAAACAAAAATAAAAACCAACCTCACAAGACCTTCTTTGAAAATGAATAAGGTATTAAATCATATAATATGCAAAAGTCCAGTGTAGACACACAAGCCTTTCAGAAATTTCCCCCATGGCTGGTAGACTTGAAAGGTTAGTGTTCTAAACATAACTAAAGTCCAGGCGAGGAATTCAGCCCTGTCAAGTGTCTCCTAGACACTGCCTGTTGGCTAAAACATGTACTCAAGGATCAGGAGACAAAATACAACAATAAGTAAACAGCATCCTATGTTCACTATTTGCCAAGCTGTGTTCTGTGTGCTTCATATGCATTAACACGTTTAATCCTCACAACACTCCTATGAGGTAAGCACTATGATTATCAGATAAGGAAACAGAGGCACTATTTGTGTGTGAGGAAGATTGGCCTTGAGCTAACATCCATTGCCAATCCTCCTCTTTTGGCTTGAGGAAGATTGTCCCTGAGCTAACATCTGTGCCAGTCTTCCTCTACTTTTTATGCGGGATGCTGCCACAGCTTGGCTTGATGAACAGTGCTAGGTCAGAGCTCAGGATTCGAACCGACAAACTCTGGGTTGCTGAAGTGGAGTGCATGAACTTAATCGCTACACCACTGGGCTGGCACTGAAACAGGAGCACTTTTAAAAGAAGTTAAAAACTTTCCCCAAATCACACAGCTAGTAAGTGGCTGTGTTACTTGAGGTAACGCTCACTGCTGTTACAAATGAACCTTAAAACGTATATCAGCTCCAATACAGTGGGGGTTTATTTTTTTCTCACATAATATCACTCAGGTGTCAACCTATCTGCAGCTTAGCTCTCTTTCCTGCAGTCATTCTGGCTGTTGGAGGGTCTGCCATTTTCAACAGGCAGCTTCTAAAATCTCCTGAGGGTTGCATCCACTCCTGCAGCCAGGAGGGGGGAAAACATGGAATAACGTCTGTGCAAGATTTTCATTGGCCAAGTCTAGAAATAGCAAATATTTTTGTTAACATTTCATTGGCTAGAACTCAGCTATCATCTGTCGACAGCTAAATGCAAGGGATGCTGGGAGATTTTCCCATGAATCTCTTGACACTGTGCCTAAGACAGGATTCTAACTCCATCCAAATGGCTAAAGAGGCCATGGTCTTTATCTCTCTGAGCATTCTGACACCTGGACAAGCTTTGGGTGCTCTCCAACCCAAACCACATCAGTGGTCATCAAGTCTGATGAGCAGGCCCAATATAATACAACTACCAAGTTGCAAATATTTTCTGGATGACCATAAAAAAAGGGACATCACAGGGGCCAGCCTGGTAGCATAGTGGTTAAGTTCAGCACATTCCACTTCGGTGGCCTGTGTTCATAGGTTCAGATCCTGGGCGTGGACCTACACCGCTCATCAGACCGTGATGTGATGCTGTCCCACATACGAAATAGAGGAAAATGGGCACAGATGTTAGCTCAGGGCCACTCTTCATCAAGCAAAAGTGAAAGATTGGCAACAGGTGTTAGCTCAGGGGCAACCTTCCTCACCAAAAAAGAAACGGGAGAGAGAGAGAGAAACATCATAAACTTTTCTCTGTGATCACACACCACATGTATTCCAAAGTTAGAAGAAAAAGTATTGTGTATAAGTACCAGCACTAATGCAGTGACTCTTAAAGTATGGCCTAGGGACTCGTGAGGGTCTTCATGACCTATGCAGGTGGTCTATAAGATCAAAACTATTTTCATCATAATACTAAACTATTCTATGCCTTTTCTACTCTCATTCTCTCATGAGTGTACTGTGGATATTTCTAGAGGTTACACGACATGTGATATTGCAACAGTTCAATGCAAAAGCAGACATGAGAATTCAGTTCCCTCTATTAAGCCAGACGCTAGAGAGGCTTGCAAAAATGTAAAACAATGTCTTTCTTCTCACTAGTTTTTCTCAGTTTGGGAAAAATATTTATTTTTCATAAATATTTATGTTAACATGGTATATATTTATTATTATTTTAAATGAATTAATAAATACATAGTTCAAAAATTTCTGTTTTAGGCACTAACCCAATAAATAGCAACAGATGTAACCCATATAAACAAAAGCTATCTGGAGTCCTTGATTACTTGTAAAAGTGTATAGGGGTCCTGGAGGGTCTATTGGTAAAGATTCAGCACTCTCCTCGCCACAACTTGGGTTCGTTTCCTGGTCAGGGACCCACACCACCAGTCTATCGATTGTCATACTGTGGTGGCTGCATGTTGCTGTGATGCTGAAAGCTATACCACGGGGATTTCAAATACCAGCA